GAATATAATGATCATGAGTTGTACAATTTTGATATTTTTTTCTTCTCCCTGGACATTTTTTGACATTTTAGATTTTCTTGATATGAGTGTTGATGCATTCTCATTTGTAAAAAAATAAACTATAACTTCAGATGCTACTTCAACTCTGTGAGAAATCCAGCTGAATTTAAAATTAAAATTATTTTAAGTGACTTCATTTATTACATTTTCAAATACATTGAAGTCATTACAATATTTTCCAAAGCGTGTTCTACAATGGTTAAAAATTCAAATAAAGCAGCGTTTGGGTACATAATAAGGAGCTTATTTTTCTTTTGCAAATGGGCGCAACTCTCTATTTAAATAGCGGTCTTAACGTCGATACAAAAAAAATTCGGAAAATGTTACTTTTTACTTACATAGGTGTGGGTGACATACCTGTTGAAGGCTTTTTTACTACAAATTTAACTTATTATATTTTTTGATTGAAGGATTTAGATCGAACTTCAAAATTAATACAGATAGTTTAAACCATCATTGAGTAACACTTTTGGGAAAAAAAAATTTCAAATATTTTAATTATAGTGATTGAACGGATTGAAAACTGTTTTAAAACGACGTACTTTCTGTTACTTAGATTATTAATTAGAATAGCTTTCCATTTGTTTTTAAGTTCACTAGTTCAGCACAAGGATGTTCATTATCACCAGCTTTAAAAAAATCATACGAATTCATCACAGTTTTGTTTTTTTTAAAATTTGTTTTGTCACATACCCACACACGTAATAAAGAATACAATCTCTAGTGCTATAATCCATTGTGGAATCAACTTTAGTTAGCACATCACAAGGTTCCCATTGGCCCTCTTCAATCAGTTCATCCAATTTTGTTTTAAGTGTGTTAATTTTTTCAAACATTTCAGATGATGTATCATGGAAAATTTCTTTTAGATTTGATAATGAAATTTTAGGAGCATCAATGTTAGTAATAGTACTATTACCATGTTTTGGGGGTTTAAGAAAGGATTATACTTATAGAATTTTATACAAATGGAGACCCCAAAGTAAAAGGTCTATGCATTAGAGCCACAGATATATATAATAACGCCGGGTTATTAACCATGAAGATTAGAGATAAGGAGACCAAACTCCGTTTACAAAATATGGCCCGACAAAAGTCGCACGGTTATTCTGCCACCAGGAGCGCGTCGTTCGATAGCAGTGCTACGTTTTACCACTTATTATACGTACTTTTCTATAAATGTACCTTTTTTTTCATTTTTTTGATTTCGAATGAAATATAAATTATGATTTATTATTTATTACCTGGTCAGGTTAAAGTATACCTAAATATATAATCAAAGTTCAAAAGGTGTTTGCTATAAAAAAAAGTTTTTTTTTACCTGGTAATGTTATTTGCTGATGTCATAATCCCTTTACATGTTATTAAAAAATGTATATATTTCAATAACTTATGTATATCATTCATACTCAATAAAATTGTATTAATAATGTTGCAATCAAAAAAAATTTCAGTACCATTGAAAAAAAATCTGTCAACATTTAATGAATAAAGAATTGGAATAATAAGAATTAATATAGAATACGATAATAGGTTTGAACAGTTTTTTATTTTACTTTTGACCATATAATTGCTTACTTTTACTATTAAATCATTTGAAATTATTATTCTTTTTTCAGATTGCAAGCACTACTTCATCATCAGTTAATCCAAACATCCATTTATTATCTGGTTTTTCTAATAGATTCAGATTTTCTTTTAAATACTGAAATGAAAATTCTGCGTGGGAATTTTCAACTGTATTTAAATATGCCTGACTTGGTTTAAATCTCTTTTTATCACTATTTATAGACCTTTCGAGAGGAGGTTTTCTCTTAATTGTATGCTCTGTTAAATAAAATGGTAAGTTTGGAAATATAGATGGACATGCCCCAGCTTTTAATGTGGGTCTAATTCTTTTAATTTTATTGACTGTTCCATCATTTAAGATAGTCTCATCATAAATTAGAATATTATTCTCTTTGAAATGCACTTCACACACATAACACTTGTAACGTCTCACACGATGGCTTACCCAGATTCGGCGTGGAGCGTACGTTGACGAAAAACTTTAGTGGGAAGGTCGCCAACCCACAGCCGAGATTCGGAAATCGGAGCGTGTGGGATTTGTAACAGAATAATGTAAATAGGAAAAAACAATAAGAACATACAATTGATGGGTGAGTTAAAAGGTATATTAATTTTAATGATCTTATGGAAAATGAATAATTAATTTATGGCCAAGAAAAGCCCACACTGGCATAAAAACTTGACAGCAACAAAAAGGGTCACCTTAGAAAAAATACAACAAATACATAATAATAATAATAAAATAATATTAGTACACTATAGTGTGTATTATACACAGAAAAGAAACGAAACGAAATGAAATGAAATACCGGCCAAGGTATAGTATATGATAATAATAATAATAAGAATGGTATTACCAAATCGTGATATTGTGTGACTGGGCGTCGTCCACAGGACGTCCGCGGTAAAATAGTACCTACTCACACGTTATGTTGTCCGGCAGAGAGGCACAATGAAAGTAACGGGCGTCGGACGCGTTACACATCACACGCAGAAAAACATATAATATTCTACGATAATTTGGTAATAACTGATTATTGGCCGGTATTTGATTATAACGTAGTGTCGGCCGGTTAACTCGACCACGGGTACTAGGCAGCGGTGATAGTGTGTGTGTACGTCGACTATCGTAATATGCATATCGCCTTTGTTTTGGATGTGGGCAGAGATGCCCGCGGGACGGAGAGCGCTATCGTATAATATTTACCATTATTATCGTTGTTCATTTTCGACCGTTACAGAAACCCCCCTGTATAAGGGTCCTGGACCTGTCTGGGGCGCTTCTGCAGAAAGAAACAGGGAGAAATTATACGTGGCTGAATAGGGGTTTGACTTAACCGTGCCGTCAATAAGCTGATTGCTTAGCATCAGTAGGACGGATGTACTTTCTAAGAAAAATAATGTTAAAAGTTCCCCGAACTTGATCTGTTACAGGATCAGCTACGACGTACGCATTACAGCTTTTAATCTCTATGATTTTATACGGTCCTTCATACAACATAAAAAAATTTCTTTATCTGATGGTCAACGGCGGAAGAGGAGCGATGTGCACGAACGAGGACTTCTTCCCCGATCAGAAATTTTTGTTGTTTTACCGCGACGGTCATGTCGAATTCGGCGTTCCTCGGCCTTAGTTCGTTGAACCTCGGCAGCCATCGTTAGCTTGACCATAAAATCATCACTACCTTTCGGCGGGCATTCGACAGCTTCATATATCGGACTATACCTTTCAGTTTTTAAGAAAATCTCGCTAGGAGTGAAACCCGTCGACTCGTGAACGGTATTATTCAACATCCACTCAATATACTGAAGGTAACGGGGCCACTCGGTATGGGACTGATGACAATAAGTGCGAAAAAATCGACCTAACTCGCGCATAACCCGTTCAGCTGGATTACTCTGAGTATGATAGACGCTAGTAGTTGTTACATATACATCAATCGCAGTAAGACGAGCTCGCCACACATTACTCACAAACTGGACTCCGTGATCCGACACAACGGTTTGTGGAGCTCCATGGACTTCAATGTAGTCAGAGATCATTCGATTGGTTACTACAACTGCAGTGGACCGTTTGATCGTAAATAACCGGACAAATCTAGAGAAACAGTCGATTACAACGAAAACGTACTTAACGTGATTCCACCCAGATGGCAATGGACCGTACAAATCAACACAGACTCGCTGGAGGGGTGCATTAGCTATCACATGTTGCATTTCACCTTCTGTCCTTACGGTGCTACATTTTGCACGTTGACAGGTGTCACAACTTTTCACCACATTACGTACATTTGCACTTAGACTACGAAAATAACACACTTCTCAAATGGCGGCAATACATTTTTTCGGACCTACATGTCCAAAATGCAGGTGGAATTTAAAGATAAGCTCATCGACTCGATGTATAGGCATACATACTAGCCACCTATCTGAGTTGAGATGTCGACGATAGAACAAAATGTCCCGATACATACAATATCGTTCAGTAATGGCACTTGACACGAGAGACTTATTGGACAACAAATCAACTACCTTTCGAAGCGCCGGATCCATCTGCTGTTCCCGGAGTATATGTTGAAAAGATTCTATACGAGATTGGTACTCGGTGAGTAACCTACGAGGAGTAACTATGAAAATACCGAGTGAATCGGATTGTTGGTTGATTAGATCTCGATCTACCGGGTTGCGAGATAAAGCGTCGATTACGTTGCTAGGTCCAGTGATGTATTTTATTCGTAGATCGAACTCCTGAAGAACAAGGGTCCAACGGGTGAGATGTGCATTTCTCAGCCTACATCGAAACAAGAACGTAAGAGCCTTGTGGTCAGTTAATACATTGACAGGGTAACCAAGAATGAACACCCGAAATTTTTCACAGGCAAATACAATAGACAGTAATTCTAACTCGGTGGCACTGTAATTTTTCTCAGCGGAGTTTAAAGTTCGACTAGCAAATCCGATCGTTTGTCGTTCGTTGGATGTATCGACTTGAAACAGTTCGGCTCCAAGACCAAGATGACTGGCATCGGTTTGCAAATAGAACTCTGATGTGAAATCAGGATGGGCGAGCAAACGCTCGGTAAATGCAGATTTAACGGTATTGAAATGGGCCACGTCTACCTCGTTGAATCGCCACGGAACACCCTTTTTCAGTAATGCAATCAATGGACCGATCAAAGAAGCGTGATGGTCGGTAAATTTCCTATAGAAGTTACAAAAACCTATAAACGACTGAAGATCTTTTTTGTGTTGGGGAACTGGAAAATCATGAATAGCCGACAACTTTGAAGGATCCATAGACATGCCTGAAGGCGTAATAATATGACCTAGAAACTTAATTTTATCACGGAGGAATTTACATTTGCTCAACTTTAAGGACATCCCTGAAGTCGAAGGCGACGTATGTGGTCTTCAAAAGTTGTTGATGATACCAACACGTCGTCAACGTAGATATGGAGATCCCCTAATCCGTCTTCATTGTAGTGATCAACTGGATTGGAGAGAACTGATTCGAGTGCCTGTTGGAATGCTGTGTTTGAGATATTGAGCCCAAATGGTACGACACGAAATTGATATGTTCGACCGTCGTACACGAACGCGGTATACTTTCTGACGTCACGATGTAGAGCAACTTGCCAATATCCGGCCGTAAAATCTATACTTGAGAAAATTGCTTTTCCCCCAAAACGGGCAAGTAGTTCGTCGAGTGGTGGCGATGAGTCACGCATCGGCAGAATTATTTTGTTTACTCGTCTGGCGTCTAAACATATTCTGACAGAACCATCGGCCTTACCAACACATATAATTGGATTGCTATAGGGTGAAGTACATCTTTCGATCACCCTCCACTCTAGCATGCGAGCCAATTCCTTTTCAACTGCAGGACGTCGAGCAAACGGTACTGGATATGGACGGATCTTGAAAGGAATATCTGCACTGACATTGAAGCGACACGTAAACAACAAGTTTAAACCAGGACGAGTGCGAAAAATGTGGTGGTACTCATGAAATAGGCCAACGACTTGTTCCAATTGGTTTGACGAGAGATTCTGAACCGTTGACAGGTGTTCAGTAATGTGATCGAAAGGTTCTAAATCGTTTTCCGGGGTTACTTGTAAGCTGGTGATCATATTGTTGTCGGTTGACGATTGTAACTGCTGAGAAATCATTTCGACACTCGCTATACAATGCTCAGTTATCGACCTCGCACAGTCTTGAGGTGAGATAGACAAAGTAAATAGAGCACTCATATGATTAATTGCATCATCCGGTGTTTTTGAAAATGGTATATTAATGTTCCAACTGGTGAGACGTACAATCCGTTCAGAGTAGTCCAAACACACTTTGTTCTGAGTCAACCAATCATCTCCTAATATAATGGAGGTTGCCAGATGTGGAACAACAAGACAAATGCAGTCAGTAGTGTGTCCAAAAATAGAGAACGGTATGAGGACTTGAGTAGTGATTTTCCGGCTACGACCTTTTACAGCGGTTGATACGGTGACTCCCGTAACGGGTAAGATTGATAATTGCTGTCCCTCCGGAATGTTTCGCTTGATAGATGCAAATATCTCTTCTGAAATGGCCGAGACAGAAGCACCTGAATCAAGTAATGCGTTGAATGGTTTATTATAAATTAAAATTGACAACTCTGGGCGTTTACATTTTGGTGAGACACCATCTGCGACAATCTGTGTGGATGTTGTAAGTTCATTTAAATTAGAGACTTCGTGACAAGACATACTCACGTACGAGCCTCGTCGTCGTTTCCCGACATATCAAGTTGTGCTACGGGACGTGGACCCGCGTTATCCGGTGTTGGGACTCGTGGTTGGAACCGGTAATTATCTCGACGGGGAATATTATAACGAGGTTGTTGATTTCCATTGATTTGGTGTTGGAACGGTGGTCGAACCTGATTTCCATTGTTTTTGTGTTGGAATGTAGGTCGAACCTGATTGTCTGTAAAATAAATAGGATGAGACATATATACAGGTGCACACAAAGACGTGTACAAATAACATACTTAAGATTAAACCATATAGCTAGCCGCCGTTTATTAAGGGGCCTCAGATTTGTCCATTACTTTTTCCATTATAGGCTATAACACTAAACACTGCATTAATCACCTAAAAAAAAATCGATGATTATTAGAAAAAAGCTTGTAAATTATAATTTATAAATAAAGTGATACATTATTCATTATTTATTGCTATATGTACCTAATGGCCAATACCCATATATATTTATTATAACGTGCACCTAATATTAAATAATATAATTATTTTTTTTTTCGTACAGAGGCCTTATTTAAAATTAATAAGCTAATTATTATAATATATATTTTATTTTTATTATTGAAACCAATTTTAACCGAGATCCCCCTACTCTTGTATATATGTTTTGGATCTGATCCAGATCATAAAGTATTTGTAAGGAATAATAAATCAAGTTTAATTCGAAAAACGTACATAATCCCTATTATACTACATACTATAATTGTAAAACGTAGCACTGCTATCGAACGTCGCGCTCCTGGTGGCAGAATAACCGTGCGACTTTTGTCAGGCCACTTTATAAACGAGCGGCTATAGGAGTTTGGTCTCCTTATCTCTAATCTTCATGATTATAACTATACTATAACTATATATTATTATATATTATTATATATATCTGTGATTAGAGCTTATATGGCATATGGACATATGGTATATGATCTAAGCATTATTTAGAGATTAGACATTTAGACCATCAAATCCCAAAATCTTTGAAATTTAAAATTTCTGAAATTACCAGTGCACTTTAGAGTTTAGACACATCTTACTCATGATAGAGTAGTAGTAAATATTTATATTTGTTTGTTCGTTTTTTTCTCAGAGGACATGAATTGAATCTAGGAAAAGGAAACACCTAACAACATTCATTAGAAAAAAAAGGCCCGGACCTAGGACAATTGGTCCCCGCGATAAAACGCAGCATGCAGACAATTGGCCCTTGTTATAATTGTATACACGGACAATTGGTGCCGGGCTTATAAGTTAAATACAAAATATTTTTTTAGCATAATAATTATAATAAGAAATATTTAATATTAAATATTCCCGTGACACTGACAAAGTAAAAATAATTAAAAAGTTAAATACCTGAATACAAAACGTTTTTTTTTTTTTAATAATAATTTTTGAATAAAATATACCGTCAAATTGAAAATAAAAATGTAGATTGTCTCAAGGAAAAATATTTACCAGGGACTAATAAATTGTCCGGGTATAAAATTATGACGGGGACCGATTGTCCGCATACGGAATTTTTATGCGGGGACCAATAATTGTCCGTAACCAAAAACCCCATACCTACCAACTAAGTACATTATTATTTTTATTATGTTTTACATAATTATTAAATATAATCATAATATAATCATTACATTTATCTATGAAACACTTCTTCAACATAATTAATATCTATAACTATAATTAATATTATATTATAAAATACTAGCTGTCCCGCGTTGCCCGCGGATTAGTTTGTTTTTTTGCATTTTCGTAAGCCGTATATTAGTGTTTAATTTATTATTTATGAGAAAATAAGTTTTTTTTTTTATTTGTAGTTAATTAGTAGTTTCGGAGATCATCGCGTAAAGTAAACTATTGACTCCGATTGAGTATGTCAAATCAATATTCATGATGTCACTATAGTAAAGATAAAATCTAATAACCCACTGGATTAAGAATAGAACATAGTCTGCAATGAAAGAGTAAATTACAAACTTCTTTATAGATAACGTAAACAAATTTAATTTTATAAATGATTTTATAACCATTTCTTCAGCCGATTCATGATGTCTAACAACACGTTTGCGTCCTGCCTCATATAGCTATACTCATTGTTGAGGTTTGACTTTTATGGCGGCATTTTACTAAGTACAAATAAGAATAATAAAATTTATACTTAAACGTAATAATAAAAAAAAATATTCAACTCCAAAAGGTATACCTTCTACGTCCCTTTGGGGTAAAAGTTCGTACGGGACGCTGTTCAGCACATGAGAAAATGGGGAGGGGGTAGCTAAAACCACGAACTTCTAACTCCAAATGTGCCGGATAAGAAATAAAACTGTGTACTTACTTAAGTTAAATGGTTCAAGGCCTTCAATTCACTTAACTTCACTACACTTCCACTTCACTGAATAATACTGATGAATACTTAATAGGTCGTACCGAACTTCGCCTTTTATACCTTTGAACATTGAAATTTCTAGAACGAAGCATTAGAGAGCATTGTATACGACGTCACGTCATGTGAGCCACATTGAATATGATACTATGATGCTATCTCCCTTTAGCTACAAGCTACATATTAAATACGTTTAATATTTGGTGTAAGGCACGAATTCATGGATAAAAATTGTGAAATTTCCCTGTAAAATGGAATATGGTAAATGTTTTTATGTGAGATGCAAATAGGTGGATTACGTGTAATCTCCCCGTGATGTGCAATCATAGGCGGGATCGGGGGGGGGCTTACTTAGCCCCCCCCCCAAAAAAAAATAATTTGAAGTTCAAGCCCCCCCTAAAAATTTAAGAAACAAAAACATACTTTTATACAGATTACAGAATTATTCCGGCTATTATAGGCGGATCGCTATGGCTGGATTAGAAATAAAGTAAAGTTTATCATGATTGATTAGATTGAATGATTATATTTTGCTTATTGTTTGATATCGGCAAGGCTGGGCAAGTTAACGATTTTTTTTAACTCGTTAAGTTAAGTTATTTTAAAATAATAAAGTTAAGTTAAATTAAAAGTTAATCATATTTTTTACGTTAACTCGTTAAGTTAAAAGTTAACTTTGAAAAAAAAGTAACTTAACTTAGTTTAAAGTTAAAATTTTCTATTTTGCAAAAATAATAAATTGCACACATAATATTAGTTTTTTTACACTCAAGAAAAATACTAGGGAAATTTTTTAAATGAGACATAAAAGTATTAACTAGCTATCAAAAAACCTACTTTTCCAAAATAAATCTTAGTCCTGAACTCATACTCAAATCAATTTACCCAAGTGGTACATCAAAAAAAAAAAAAAAAACACCTTAATAGTTTTCTCCCAACTGCCAAGATACCAATATTTTTAATTGATTCACATAAATTTTAAAAATCAAACAGGCAGTACCTACCACCCAAATATATTTTCTATACTGAGGACAAAATGCAGCCACCGTGTAGTTTTAAAACCTAGGCTCAGCACAACATGAACAATTATTATCAGTAAACTTATTAATAACTTACTTATTAGTTGTCTTTATTATAGGCTTCACCAATAACATGTCACAACAATTATTTATTAAATTCCGCATTTTATATGTGTTGTGACTTGTTATAATGCCGGTAATAAATTATTGTTGAACCAAATTCGGACTAGCCGATTATAATTGCATTTATTTAATAATGGAAAAACGTTCACGACAACATTCGACATCCACTTCAGGGAACCCATTTAAACGATAATCTGTATAACCTATCTTTGAAAATATTATTAATACAATTTATAATGATAAACGTGTAGGTAGATATTATATAGCCCATATAATGACTATTAAAGTTATTTTTCATATTATTTTCGTCTACAGGAAATTCATATTAAAATAGTAAATCATAAAATATACTAAAAACCTCATTAATAATTTGCATTTTTCTTTGCACTAAAATTAACTTAATTTAGATAATTTTAAATAAAATTAACTTAAAGTTAACACGTTAATCTTAAAAAAAAAGTAACTTATTAAGTTAAAAGTTAATTTGTAAAAAAAGTAACGAGTTAATTAACTTAATTAAAATTAACTTAACGTTTTAACTTAATTTTAACTTTTAACTCGTTAATGCCCAGCCTTGGATATCGGTCCTCGAAAAAACGTTTCATTCGAGTCTAAACATTTATAATTAAATTCAAATATGTTTGAAATATTTAAATTTAAATCAAAAACAACTGGACCTGAAGAGATACCGACAAGATCGACAGATATTACTGACAACCTGAAGCAATTGTTGAAGATTTGGATTTGGATTTAGATGATTTAGAGTCTGGTCCTAAAATACCGAAACTAAAGGTAAGTTATAAATGTATTATACATGACATTACCATTACCTATCTGTAATAGATAGGTAATAATCTGTATTTTATTATTATTTATTATTATGTAGCATTGTAGCTACCTACTTAATTAAAATTATTAATTTTTATCTAATAATATTTAGCAATTCCCTTTAACACAATTTGTTTCTCAAAAACGTGGTTTTAATTCTTCATATTTTTAATTATTTTAATGAGTTATTAAATATAAAAAAAGTGTTGGGGGTTTAGGGCAGGGGCGGAACTAGGGGGGTGAAGCCGGGGATTGATCCCCGGGCGTAAAATTTTAGTGGGCGTAATTTTTCTTTAGTTCTTTATTTAATGCTTGGTGATAGAAGTTAAGAAAACATTTTTATTTCACATTATTTGTTTATGATGTTGTAGTGATGACGTTGGAATTAATGAAAAAAAAAAAATAAAGTTAATAGTAAGATTATGAATAGATTCGTATTAGTATACTAAGTATATACTGGTATACTGGCATTAGCATACCTACTGCAAGAATATACAACTAATATACTATAATTATTAAGATTCTGAGTGAAAATGTAACTAGTAACTATACCTAGGCATTTATTGATGCTGTGTTTTCGTTAAAATTTCTGATAC